GTTTTGATATTTAAACATTTAAGTCATCACCTAACGTTAAACATTAACTGTGAAATTAAAGAAAAATTTAAGTAGATATGAATATGTGTAATTTTTTGGAAAAGGATGTATAAGTATTTATAAAAATGAATATGTATAGGTACCTGCGTATTTCGATATATGTGTATGTGCCTATGTGTGTAACTGCACATGTAAATGAACGTATGTATATGTGGGATATATATAAGGAAAAAAGAACAAAATCTTTAATATTACCTTCCAATATTACTCCATCTTAATGTAAAACCTAAACTTTAAGTAAGGAAGATTACCCATCTAAAAATAGTTACAAATTACATTCATGAATTAGATTCAAACTGATAAAGATGTTACCTTAACAGTCATTTACAATATTAAAAGATTACTATCAGTAAACTGTTATATTTTTAAAAATTCTTTTAATGCGTTCTCTATGAATGTGTTAATAGAGTACTTAAGTTATATTAAATCCCGAAGTTATTTGTAAAAGAGTTAAATATTTAAATTGCTAGCAAGCATCAAATTAATTTCTTCGGTTTTTTTTTTTTAACATTTAAATTACTATCAAACATTAAAATCTATTTTTTTTACATAAATTGCTAAAAATATACCACCCCTCTTTTTCTTACGTAAAACCTAATTACAGCTTTACTTCCCCTTTCTTTCTTTTTCTTTTTCTTTTCCTCTCTTCTCCTTTCCCATTTCAATATATCACATCCGTTAAGTTAACCGTTTAAATAGGTCATGGTCTGGTTCTTCCTCCCCCAATACTAAGTATGATTGAAAGAAATATTAAAATAAACCCTCTCTAAACTCGACCATGTCTCTCACATCACTCCTCGCTACCTTCTCTGTTAAATTACATAAACTTAATACTACCCGTCAAAAGTGTATATTTTTATTTCATCTTTCGTTTCAACTTTTGGAAGTGATGTCTGAGGATCCAGCGTCCCTTAAAAGGGCTCTGGCGAAATAAATTATTATAATGGAACCTTAAAGTGGTCTGTTTTTCTTTTAATATATATATATATATATATATATATATATATATATGATCTAAATTTTCTTTATAAAAATTGCTTAAATAGATTCTTTTAATTAATTTTTCTTTATTAAAATTGATTAAATATTTTTCTCTAAAGTAGTTGTTCTCGCTATATCAAAATTTATATATCGTTTTCCATGTGCATATATATATATATATATATATATATATATATATATATATATATATATAAGTGAACATAAAATCAACATAGCCGACAGTCTGTTTCATTTAACATGAAATCAGACTGTCGCTGTTAATTGCATCACGACATGATATATATATATATATATATATATATATATATATGCAAACCAGTTAGTTATCAAATGTGCTGCATGGGTCATTTGACAAGTATAGCGGATAATAGATTGGCCAAGACTTTTTATGTTCAGCTGGTTTGTACGAAATAATCGATCTATTGATAAGCCCCAGAAACGTTTCAAGGATGTAGTTAAATGTAACCAAAAGACTCCTGGCGTTAATGTTCAAGAATGGTAAACTGCTGCTGGGGTGAAAACTGGACGGAAAAAGTTGATTTGGGGGACGCTGCAACAATTCCTAGCAGAATCGAATAGAGCGTTCTAACAGCAAAGCGCGCCATTAGGAAGGGAGAAATACAATCCACCCGACTCTATTAGGATATCAAACACACTTGCATTATTTGTGGAAAAGTCACACTCTCGGTGGTTGATTTAGCCAGTCACGTGAGATCAGATCAGAGAGGTCAAGTACAAACACCTATGCTATATTTTATCAGAAAAAAATAAATAAATAAAAAACCTGCAGGTTCCTTCTGCGAGTATTGTGACAAGGTTTGTAAATCTGTTGCGGAACTCAAACTCAAACCTCACATGATTATATACAGGGAAAAGGCAAGTTTTCAACATAAGTAACACAGACAAACTATATGTGAGAAGGTTTTAAAAGTGAAGCTGGCCTTATAAATCCCTTATGGGCCCATAGCACAAGCATTACCTCGGGCATAAATGATCAAAATAATAACATTCTGAATGAAGAGCACAAAAAAGCTACCAACTGAGGAGATGGTCTTCTTCTACAAAGAAGTGACATCACACACACACACACACACACACACACACACACACACATATATATATATATATATATATATATATATAATAATCCGTTTGTATATAATCCAAGTGAACCCTAAAAACCACAAAGAGAGCTCAATGTATTTATTCTAAGAGAGCATATAAATTACTATAAATTTCCTTTTTTTTTCTGTCTTTCTTCCCTTTTTTCTTCTGCCTTGTTTTAAAATTTACTTTAGGTCTGGTTTCTTTTCATTTTATATTATCTTATTACCTTGATTGGTTTGAAAATCCTTACGAGTAAATCTTAATACGTAAGGTGAGATGTTCATAATATGAGGTAATTTTAAATTCCTTTTGTATGCAATATATATATATATATATATATATATATATATATATATATATATATATATATATATATATATATATTTATGGGGTATGCAGGTCCCTCCCAAAAAAAGTGATACATTTTAAAAATTAAAAGTCTTTCTTGAATATATCACTTTAGTTTTAATTTTAAGTCAATCGATTAAATTTGATATTTCGAATAAGCATGGAAGTATTTAAAAATTTTTCTATATGTTTTTTCTTTTTTTTCTTTTTGAAATCGTTAAAATCGATAAAAATCAGCCGTATTTGCAATCTGCCAGCACAAGATGATTCTTTTTATTAAAAATACCTTTCCTAAATAAAATATAGCTTTCTGGAACTTTAAGGAAGATTACCTGATTTAGAGTTTAATTAATCTGATTCGAAACAAATATTACTTTTAGTTACATATATTAAAATAATTGTCCAAGATTTAATTTCCATGATAATTTTGCTAAAACATTAAATTAGTTGATATATAAAAAAATTATATTTGTTGTGTAGTATTGTTATAGTGAAACACACCTATTCTATTGTTAATAGACTCTCCCACCTATAATAAGTAGAAGTAGTAGCAGTCGCTCAGTGAGTCAGTCAGTCGATGTCGGACGACCGTTAGTCGGATATTAAAGTATCAGCCACCACAACTAGATTACTGCGTCATTACCTATTATATCAAGTTCCTAACGTTTTGTACGTCGAGCCCATTTTAGGACCGACATAGTAAAAATACAAGCCTCCACTGTGAAACTACTCTACAACAAGTATATATATATATTCTATTTATACGTTATTTTACAAATGATTAAGTAAATGCTCTGTTTATAATAAACAGTATTAATTACATTTACCGACCTGAATATTCGAGAAATTTCGTAGAAAATATGTATCCTCCGACTGGAATTGAAACTTACTGCAAATGCATATTTATTAATATATAATTTACAGTTCTGTTTTATTAGATCGAGCATATATATATATATATATATATATATATATATATATATACAGCGGAACCTCGGTTCGCGAATTTAATTCGTTCCTGAAGAACGTTCGTAACCCGAAATATTCGTAAACCGAAACTATTTTTCCAATAGGAATCAATGTAAAATGGATTAATCTGTTTCTGGTCTCAAGATGATTGATTATTTAAACAGTACTTTGTGCACAAGTTTATACAGAAAATTAATGAAAATCATTAAATCTATGAAAAAAAAAAAAATAAACCCAATACTAAACAGATAAAATATAGACGAACACTTCAATTTTACCGTACCTTTAAGTATGAGAGTTGATGGCGTAAGTGTAAGAGGAAGGAAAGAGATGTTATTATTTGGAAAAGGGGAAGGAAAGACATAATCGTCTCTTTATTTATAAGAATAATATAGATCGTAGATTTTGCCATATGAAACTGAGTAGAAAGAGACAATATCATCAACAATTGTTTTTCTCTTAACTTTCATTTTCCTATACTATCACTGCTGGCTTGCTTTAAAGCCACGACTAAGACCTAATAAATGAAAAAAAGGCACAATACAATACAATTGGAAAAAAGCACAATACAACACACGAACGTATACAACATGGCGGTTGACTCAAATTCCGTTCGGGTTAACTCGGTTAGGCAATGTTGTTTGAGAACCGAAATTTTGTTCGAGAACCGAGGTATTTTCATTTCGAATTTTTTGTTCGAAAACCGAGTTATTTGATATAACAGACGTTCGAGAACCGAGGTTGCTTTATATATATATATATATATATATATATATATATATATATATATATATATATATATATATATGTCAGTGGTTAATATAATAGGAAATGACAATGAGATTTATTATTCAGAGTTTTTAGTTCTTTATTTTTATTTTTAAAAAACAATGCTCGATACAATAGTAGTGCATAATATTATAATTGTTTATTTAAAAATATATAATCATCGCAACACCAAAATTCCCATGTTTCAAAACTGAAAAATCAATTTAAATTCAATCATATAAATCAAATTTAAAGTTCCGTTCCATTTGAAGCGATGCTAAGAATAACTTTTTGAAATTAATTCACTTAATTTATAAGTACAGACAAATTTTCTCTGCTGCGATGATTATATATTAAAAAAAAACAATTATTATATATATATATATATATATATATAGGAATTGATTTTTCATTTTTTTAATCCGACATATTTTAATTTATTGCTTAAACGTTATTTTTAATGGATGCCCATATTTGTCAGTATTTATTTATTAAACGGTATCCTTATGTATTCCCATCTAACCGTCTGAATACTGGGAAAATGTTATCAGAAAAATATGCGCTTTCGTAGTAAAAATAAGAGAACTATCATAGAAAATAATAGATGTGCTTTGGGGATTAACTTCGTTTGTTTTTTTTCCTTTTTTTTTTTTTTTTTTTGCAGCTACGCAATTGCTGACAGGTCATCTGTTAATAATTTATAGATAAGACAGAAAGGAAATGGTACTTACTGACGAAGTCGGCAGATGAACAACAGACGAAACGTCGCCGTCAACTCCAACAATCGGCGCGGCCCATCTAAACACACCCAGTAATTATTAGAAAGTAAAATATCATAAAGCAAATCAAAATGAAACACAGAATGAAATAAAACAGAAGATTCGTGGTTGAGTCATCTACAGAAGATTCCATTTTCGGTGTTATTTATTTGTTTTACCCCCGCCATGGCGTGCTTAAAAGTTGCGAGTGACCCACGGAAATTGGGGTTGGAAGTAACAAAATAATACAAACGGTTTTACATAAAAGCAGATTTCTTTTTTTACTTTAGTTTCTTTTCAGTTTTATTTTCTAAAAGTGTCGTTTTATTGTTTTAATTGTATTTAGTTGGTGGGAATTTTACTAAAGAATGTTAACATGGGTCATGTTAGCGAACTATTTTGCTTTATACAACGAACTATTGTAACTTATAGTAGGGAGGAAGAAGAGTAGTTAGTTTGCCTTCTGGTTGAGGTAGTTGTGTATTTATGGGAAAAATGCCATGTAAAAAAAATATAACTTTGGTTTGTCCGTAGAAAAAATCAAATCAATTAATTTAATTTAAGTAATAATTTAAAATAAAATAAATACTCCTTAAAAATTAAATCACATTTTAAATAAAACAATATTTTAATTTATTTAATATATCTTCATAAGTCAGATTTAATTTATAGTGATAAAATAAGTAATGTTTTAAGTTATTTAATATATTTTAATAAAAGTCATGTGTCATTTACATAGGTACCTCCCCAAAAAGCGACACCTAACTTTTAAAATGCATTTTAAATACATTTTAAAAGTTAAAAACTTTTTTTGAAGTTTTTATTTATTTTTTTACAGTAAGGTTCACCCAGTACAAGGCCCGGGGACCACTCGAGATAGAGTTTTACGTTATGGGTTAGTTTATATGAATAGGAGGGGATGATAACGGTTAACTCTAGACTTGAACAGGTTAATATTGTAGTGATGATGATGATGATGATGATGATGATGATGATGATGATGATGATATAGCAAGCTGGGACAATGCAATGTAAGGAAAATTGAAAAAGGCGTCACGTGGTAGTGTTTTAATTTGCAAACTTTGAAAAATACAACATATAGGAAGCTCTGTAATAAAAAATAAGTAATACACGAAAACCAAGAGAATTGAAAGACAACGCGATAACTGGCTTTGTCTATATCGTCAAAAATAATGTGCCTATCCTACTCAATAGCAATAGAAAACCAGTCCCCTACTCTTAATATCTTGTAAAATATAATATTAATATTAACATTAACATTAAAACAAAAGCAATTAAGACAATAAGATAGCGATTGACATTGGATTTAAATCTTTGAAGATCACATTAGGCCGGAAGAGAGTTCCACAATTGAGAAACGCAAGAAAAGAAACTTAACATAAGTTTTTATTTTTATTTATTTATTTTTACAGTAAGGTTCACCCTGTACAAGGCTCGGGGGCTACTCGAGGTAGAGTTTTACGTTAAGGGTTAGTTTATATGGATAGGAGAGGAAGATAACGGTTAAGCCTTAATATGAACAGATTAAGATTATAGTGATCATGGAAACATCCTTTTGGGAGTCAGGGCAGTGATTTGCGGGAAGAAGATTTTAGAGTGGAACTTAATTTTCGTTGATGTAATACGGAAAGAATCTGAGTGGTTTGCTACGACGTAAGTGGCATGGCGGCTCTTAGCCGTGAAGATTTAGACCTGGCAGAACTAAGGAATCTAGTTTGTCTGAGCACTTTTCATGGATGTAGCAATACAGCAGTGAAAGGCTCACCATATTCCGGCTCTGAGAGAGATGTTGGAGAATGCAAAATAATTCTTTTCCAACAAGGACTTGGAGACGCTTTTGGACTCTATCAAGAATGGAAAGCGGGGACTTTTTTTTAGTTTTAATTCCAAACTAATAGATTAAATTTATTATTTCCAATAAGCAAAATAATTTTCCTGTGTTTCCAATCGAATTTAAATTGGTTGGAATGATTTTTTGAAGTCGCTAAAATCAGACATATTGACAAATCTATCAGCACAAATGTAATTCTCTTGATTAAAAATCCTTCAAAAATAAAATATTACTTATTATATACTATAATACTTTTCTGAATGTTTATTTGAGGAAGATTGCCTGATTTAAGATTAATTAACCTGAATTAAAATAAATATTACTTACATTTAGTCTACAATATCATATAAACGCATTTATCTAACATGGATGAGGTGGGTACCTTTTACATTATTCGGACTATTGTCCTCATCTTTGTCGCCATATTTATTACGTTTCGGTCGTTGTACGCTCCGGCCTTCTTCAGGTGGTTGGGATGTCGAATAATGTAAATAGTGTACATCTCAGAAATATAGACAGATGAGGTGGGTGTTTTAATGAAGTTTTGACACATTTATCAATAAGCTGATGATTGCAAGATTTAGTTAAGGCTAAAATACTTATAGTAAATTACATGACGAATACAACCTAAACGCTCTTTTTAGATAATGTTTTAACTATTCAGTAATCATAAAAATATAAATTATTTTAAATATTCTAATATTTTAATGAATTTTAGGTACTGTGCCTTTATAATTTTACTTACGAAGACTCTTGTTAAGGAAATATTAGGATAATTACCAATAAATTTTAAGTTTAATTTACTTACCGCTCTTGTTTTCTGATAATGTTGTGTATGGACATCCGTATATACAAAAAATCGTCATGATTATAGATAAACGTAAAGAATATGAAAAAATTCTTTTTTAAAACACTGGTGGCCGCTGAATTGTAGTAAACTTTTCCATTTAGGATTAGTAAATATAGTTAATAACAATATCACCTAACCTCTGCCAATTAATATAGAATTTTAAAAGATTTAAAACTTACAAATTATTATGATTAATATTTTTAAAAACGTAAACAATTCTTGTAAAAATCCATTATTCATGGAAATGTTTTGCTCTCTGAAGACATTAGTTTCTATAATATATTTTATTCTTAAAAGCAATTAAAAGCTTTTCTAATTAAATAATTCCTTGGTTTTATTGCATTTTTATTTTACGAGACAGCGCAGATTTTCTGTGATTGGGATCCTGTTTAACAAAAAGAAAAAAGAAATGATTTAAATTCTCTTAGGACTTGTTCTTATAATTAATATAACCATTAAGCGCTACGAAAATGAATTTCTCTAAATTTCATAAAATTAAATAAGTGGGTGGAGGGATAATTGACTAAAAATGAAACGTTAAGAAAATAATTTCATTCCTTCGTCAATAAGTCCTGAAAGTTTCATTAAAATCCTACAATTATCCAATTTTTTTAAAAATTCCCAAACAATGTGTTTTTCACCGAAAAAAGGCAGTAAAATTTCGCATGGTAATTTATTGTCTCATTTTGACGCAAAAAAATCAAAATTTTTAACCAAAATTTCGAAGGTTCTAAAAAGGATTAAAAAAATAATTTAATAATCGAAAATTACTTGGTCTTTCCTTTTAATAATAATACAAAGATTTGTTGTTTTTTTTTAAATTTGGGGCATTTTTTCATTATGTAGGCTCATATTTTAGCGATTTTCTTGGAAGTACATAAATTTATAGTTATAATATAATTATTTTTTGAAAAAGCAATATTTCAATATATAAAAAAAAATAAAATATTTTCAATTATTTCCTCTTTTCTTCTAATAATAACATAAAGATTTTGTTTCTATCAAATTTGGGACATTTTTTCATCGTGTAGGCTCAGTTTTTAGTGATTTTTTGAAACTACCTAAATTTATAGTTATAAAATCAGAATTATTTTGATAAAATAATATTTCAATTTATACCTTTAAAATAAAGTAATATTTTCAATTTTTATCTTTAAAAAAATCATTTTATAGCAATAAAATAAGTTTTAATTTGAGTAGAATTTGAATTTGTTTAATATGGCTTATATTAAATATACCATGTGCAGATGGTGCAATGATGAAGATCGTTGCATTCATTTTCACACAAATACTCTTGGGAAAGGCATGAATCCATCTCTCCTTTATTAGATATGCGTTAAATAGTAAGTCAGACTATACGCGCTTACGGTTGTTGATACCTATTTAAGGAAAAGACAACTCTGAATTCAAAACTGTATGTAACCCTAGTGAAACGAATACAATGTAGCCATCGAAAAGACGCAAAGGTTTACTGGATGTGAGAAAAGAAAAACATTAATAAAGATAAGAAGCAATAAAAGAACAGGAATTAAGATAACGATTGACACTGCATTTAAATTTTTGAAAATCAAACTTGACAGGGAAGCAAGAAGCCAGAAGAGAGTTCCACAAGCGAGAAGTGCGAGAGAAGAAACTGTTCGCATTGAACTTACGGTTATATCTATCCATCTCATCTGTAAAACGATGAGACCTAACTGCCAATCTAGTACTGCACTTTATTGTAAACTCGAGAAACCCAAAGAGGAAAGCTCATCAGAACAATTACCATGAATGTATTTATAGAAAAAGCACGGGGGAGCCACGTTACGACGTTTGAAAAGAGACTGGAACCATGTCAGGATTTATGACATTGCAGATTCTTCTTTGGATTTTTTCAAGAATATCTAAATACGCCAAACCGGATGTGACAGCAATATTCAACGAATCTGCGCTGAAGCCATCATAAATTTTAAATATTTAAAATACCACGGTGTTTTGATCAGTCGTAACAAAATTAGTATAGGAAATAAGGAAAGTGAATAGAGAATAGACTGCGCTAAGGATAGTTTCGCCCAATACCGCAAGATGCTACATAGCCAAAATATTAACCAGAAAACTGATGTTATGTTCTTAATTAAGTTCGTCTAATCTTGAGGCTCAAATAAATGTTAAACGCGTTCGTCTAAACTATCAACCATTTACAAACGTCTTCAAACCAAAACCAGTTAATCCTATAAATATTAAAGAAGATCAGACTTTAAAGTATGGCGCTACATAGCCATTAGCTGAGAGCTTTGCCAAATAACAAAAAACACATCGCTTTTACACTTTCTATAGCAGCAATAAAAAACATGGATAGCTTATAGAACTAG